GGAGGGCTGGGGAAGCAGAAGTCAGATTAGCCTCTTCCAGAAAATCCAGGAGTCAGGATGGATGGGTCACTCTGATGACCATAGGTAGCCCCGAGTGGGCAATTTTCAAGGTGACTCCCAGAAGTCACAGGCAGAAGTCCCATCTCCACCGTCACTGGTCTTCATCCATGGGCCTCTAGGTGCCTCACAGCCATCATGGCTTCTCACTGCGTTCCCCTTCCAAACCTTGTCAGAAGGCCCTCATTGTTGGAAGCCTGCCTGTCTGCATGAGAGATTGACAACTGTCACTTCCAGGTATTTGTGTGTCCATGCAGAACTCGGAAGGGCAAGGATGGCAGCGAGAATTTACAAACAGCATATGGCACAGTTTCCTTCCTCCCATCCAAAGCCCATGCGGAGGTGAATATACTCCAGCCCACAGAAAACATGTCACCCAGGGGCTAGGCTACAATAACATCCCTCTCTGAAAGTTCCGGAATTAAATAAGCAAGCATGCCATTTGGAGAAAGTATCTCCATCCAGGTTAAAATTAGGGAATTGTTCCTACAACACACTATGAATCCTAAGGCTCTTTGATGGGTTTAATACATTTGGAATGAGATTGAGAGAAGATGCCAAGTGCTTACGAACCTCTCCTCCTTGGAGCATGGGACAGTCATTTAGGAAGAAAGGGAGCACACTCGTTAACTGTTAAGCCTCGGCTCACACTTCCTAGCTCTGAATGGCAGTGTCTCGAGGCCAGCAGCCCACTAGCAAGGCGAGGCCACCACAAGCCAGGGGAGCCTGTTGTGCTGAGATGTGGCGGGTAAAGCTCACATGGGCCCACATCCTGCCATCTCCCCTCCACAGCTTACCCAAGATCTGCAGCTTAGCAGACCAAGGCAGTATACACGTGATTGCCAAAATTAACTTTGAATTTTGGGGGACTTGTCCTCAAAATAGACCAGGCCATTGCAAAATTCAAATGAACTGGCGAAAGAATTCCAAGATGTCCTCCTCCATCCCACCAGCGGCTACCTGTGCAATCAATCACGCACACACTATTACCACCGCACGGCAGCAGGCCTCAAACCAGCAAAGGTAGCCCAGTACAACATGTGACAAGGGTATCAACATATGGGAACTAAATCATAAAGGACTGACCTTTATGGTCCAAGACCGTGGGGAGGAGGTACATGTAAAGACGTTAGCACAAAGAAAAGAAGAGGAAAAGGAATGTATTAGATCAAAGAGTAATTGTGACATATTAAATGCATGTTTGATGTCAGACACTGGTCTAAGCACTTTATGTGGATTAATTTACTGAATCTTCCCAACATTCCTGCAAGGAAGCTACTCCTTCCGGCGTCCTCTCCATTGAAGGAGCCAGAGTTCAAGCAGAAAGGAAGAACTCATTTAAGTCACTGAGGCACAAAGAGGGGTCACCTGGACTCACACCAGAGCAGTCTGACTGCTAACCAGCATATTACATGGCTGCACTTATTTTATCTGGGAAAACCAAAGAATATTTTCATTTCCAACTTAACATCTCAAGAATAACAAGAAGCTCACAGTGCAGGAAGTAAATCAACAGGAAAGTGTACAAGAAGAGCCCAAAGTAGACAAGAAAGGAAACTAAAGAGGAAAATATATGACTTCAGAATTAAAGTGGAATAAATAATAGCAAGGAAAGACATGACCACTGCAGAAAATCGCATCAGTGACATAGAGCCAAGGCTTAGAAAAGTCAGGAAGGACGCAGAGGGGGAGCAAGACAAGTGGCTCAAAAGATGACGGGTATGAAGAAGGGAAGAAAAGAGAGAGTGCATGAGAATAAATGAAAGCAAAAAAGAAAAAAAAAAGAATAAATGAAAGCAACTTAATCAAGCATCCAGTTCACAGAGTCTATACCTTTGAGGAAAGGATGTGGAAAAACAAAAGAGACAACCTCAATGTAGGAAAAAAGTGAACTCAAATCATGAAAGAAACTGCCATGAAAATATATACAAGAGCAGGGTCTCTGACAGCAGATACCTTTCATAGCAATAAAATAATTCCTGACTCAGACGGATCAGGCAGAGAGATTGAGCACACATAATCGTGGGGAAGGAGGGGACAGAAGCATTTCGAATGTGTAAGGCGTTAAACACGGGGAAGCAGATAATGTCCATGACTTCCATGGAAATAACGTTTATAAATTTGAATTAAGAAAAATTGCGGACGTTGAAAAAACATGCAAGAAGTGAAGAAAGTTGTCAAGAAGTCCTCTTAAAACAAACAAATGATGTCTTGGTGGTTTTACTAGAAAAATTCAGTGAGATTCTATGGAACAGAAAATGTCTCTGTATCCAGTGCATTTCTGTAGATTCCCGCCTTAAGGCGGTGGGGCACAGTTCCTCACTCCGTATGTGTGGACTGTGCCCGTGACTTCTTCCAGAGCACAGCATGGAAAGGGAACAAACAAGAGTAACTTATGGAGAAACTGGACAAATACTGCCTCAAACTGGTTGTTGAGGGACGTTCTACAAAATATATGACTGGTACTCTTCAAAACTGTAAAGTCATCAGAAACAGAGAAAGTATGAGAAACTGTCTTAGCCATAAGTATCCCAAGGAGACATGACAATTAAATGGACAGTGCTATCCTGAATGGGATTCTGGAACAGAAAAAAGACATCAGGTAAAAACTAAGAAGTCTGAATACAATATGGACTTTAGCTAATAATCATACATTCTAGTAGGTTCGTCAATTGTGACAAACATACCATAGCAACAGGGGAAAACAGGTGTAAGGTGGACAGGAACTCAATAATTCAGGGGCGTCTGGGTGGTTCAGTCATTTAGCCTCTGATTCTTGGTTTCAGTTCAGGTCATGATCTCAGGATCATCATATCGAGCCCAGCCGCTGGCTCTGCTCTCAGCAGGGAGTCTGCTTGAGATTTTCTGTTTCCCTCCTTCCCTTCCTGCTCTCTTTCTCTGAAGTAAATAGATCTTTAAAAAAAAAAAAGAAAGAAAAAGAAGAAAAGAAAAAAGAAAAGAAAATGACTATATACCTGAAATACTTCAGGTCATAGATTGAGATGAAAAGCCTAAAATATTTCTTTCTTTACAAAGCTAGCATATCAAAAATTATGCATACACACATATTCACAATAATCTTCACCTGAATTCAATTATATATGCCAAAGTAAAGTTCCAGCCAAAACATTAGCAAAATAAAGCATGTGTTTTCATTACAACAGCCTATTAAGAGATCATTTCAAGAACGTAAGCACAGTCAGATATTATTAATAATAATTATAAGGAACTTACATAAATGTACTCAATTAGTCTCTATTTTTTATTTTAAATATTTTATTTATTTATTTATTTGAGAGAGAGAGAGAGAGAGCAAGAGCAGAGAGGGAGAAGCACGCTCTTTGCTGAGCAGGGAGCCCAACGTGGGGCTCAGTCTCAGGACCCTGGGATTATGACCTGAGCGGAAGGCAGGCGATTAACCCACTGAGCCCCCAGGCACCCTGAGGTAGGCTCTATTATTAACCCCATTTTACAGGTGGAATACTGAGGCTGCAGATAGCTCAGTAATTTGCCCAAGAACATACAGGTCCAAATAGAGCAGATCCAGGTGTCTGACTCTATGATTCAAATACAGTTTATAAAACTGCTGCATTCATATCAAAATAATAAGAAACAGCAATAGGACAGCTTCATACAACAAAAGTGCAAGTCCCACTAACAAGTACAAGTCCCACGGCACACTTAACGGTGTGATGTGAGAAACATGCTCAGTAAATTCAGATAGGCTCTCACCACTCCTATTTGGCACTGTTTACAAACTGCCAGTGGGATAAATTACCCAAGGGGATGAAATGTTACAAATGACAAAAATAACCATGTATTGTTTTCCACTATTAGTACTTGCCACTTGTGTGCATTTGGCTTTCTGCTGTAAACCCAGAGGAAAGAAACATGAAAGTAATAAGGGGAGGACTCAGTTATAGAAACGATAAAAAGTCCCTGAAGAAACTTGTGTGGGACTTAACTGAAGAGAACTAACTCTAAGATTCCAGCTCCAGCCAGAGGAAGAGACCGGAATCCACAGGGAGTCACCCTGCTCTTGGCCAGGAGAAGACAACACTGTCCATGGGGCAGTCCCTTGCAATGTCATCTGCCCTATCTATACAATGTTGATCAAAACTCTAATGTAAATTCGTGTGGTTCGGGGAGGGCAGTCTCAACTGAATGCCCCCCAAGTTAAACCAAAGGTGGGGGTCCTGGAACTTGACAAGTGTGTCACCCCTCAACATGAGACAGCGTTGGCCATTTCAACTGCCTTTGCTCCCTCGTAGGAGCCAGGAAATGGGGCACCCACGTGCCTTGAGGGTGGGATCACACATTATCCCTCTGACAGCTCATCAATCCTTCTAGCTGTTGGCAAACTAATGGACTCAAATCCAGGATGGCCCCAGACCCCTCCTGGACCACTGGCAAATTTCCTGCGAGCCCAGATTATGGTAGCAAGATGAAGGTGAAATGCTTCTGGAGTCTAACCTAGCCTACCTCTCAAGTCTCATCTCCTCCCAGCACCTAACCTGTTAATGTGCCTTGTTCCCTGGTAACAGGGTGGGGACCTTGGGAGTCATGTCCAACAACTCCTGTCTCTTCCTATCCACCTCCCCTCGATCACTACCTCCAGCCCGTTCTCTGTCCCATTTCACTTCCAGTCCCACGCTCATGAGCTCATCCCAGAGCCCGGGCTCAAAACCCTTCCTAACACTCGCTCTGGCCAGTTCCACACCTCCTTCAAGTCTCTGCTCAAGTAATGATTCTAAGCAAGTGACTGACCCACTCACCTCCCAGGGGCGGGGGTGTTGGGTGTCCACCAACCACCTGCAGAGCCACTCCTGCTCTCTCTCTATTTCTCCTTTCACAGACTGCAGTCTTCTCCCTCTTCCAGACTTAGGGAAGGTGGGAGAAAATTACCCCGATCTTAAGACTTTCTGTGCCCCTTCATTGCAGGCTTTTGTTCGGTCTGACATGGGCTGGCCCTCCTTGTGCATCTCTGCAATTTTTCAATGAACTCTCAAAGGATGAGCCTGAGCATCGCCATGCCAGCCATGGTGAACAGCACGGCCCAGCTCAGGCCACTCAATGCCTCCACAGAAAGGCCTCCTGTCGACTCCCAGGACGGCTGGAATGGAACTCTGCAGAAGTCTGAGGCCGTGGTAAGTTTAACGAGACTCCAGACCCTTTCTCGGACTCAGATGGTTTGACCTAAAGGGTTATTTATGAAGCATCTACTATGTTCGATGAACTAGACTACACGAGAACGTAACAGGCAGCTAAGGAGACGACATCTCTTCTCTATCTAGTGTCTAGCAGTGGAACCGGACCAAGCGGACTAAGTGAAAATGCAGGAAACCACTTTCGTCTTTAGTGGACATACGTTCTTCCCTGACAGGGATGAACGTTGCAAAATAAGTTTCACAGATGTTTATCTTGGCTTTCTTTCTTCACCTGTTTTTCAAGTTACCCCATTGCCTACAATGCTTTCTTCTTTATAGCTTTTCTTTATTTACAGGATCTCTTACGCTTTAATAGGTTAGTTGATCGTGTCACCAGGGAAACTGTGTAAAAGGAAAGAGTACATATTGCATAAGTTTGGGTTTTTGGTTTTGTGTGTTGAGTTTTTTTTTTTTTTTTGAATAAAATTGGTAGACTGGAGGAACTGGAGAGAGGTATGAGAGAGAACTGCCCATTTTTGTTTTTGTTTTGTTTCTCGCCTCTCAAGTTTCACATGATCAAAAGTGTCAACTCTCTGGCCAAGATAACCAGTGAGATTTCTTGTGCCCTAGGCTCCCGTGTATGACTGGGGTCCTGAAATTCAGGGGATCATTCTCAGCTCATGCAACTACGCCTCATTCTTGGTTCCCATCCCTACTGGCTACATCACTGGAGTGTTTGGAGCCAAGTACTTGGTGGGTGTTAACCTGCTTCTTTCCTCAGTCTTGGCCGTCTTGACTCCATCGGCTGCTGACGCAGGAGTGCTCTCCATCACTGTCCTGTGGATTGCTCAAGGCATAGCCCAGGTACCCAGATGCTTTCTAATTGTAAGTGGAATATTAGTTCCAAAATGACCTCAATAGCCAAGAATGGAACTTCCCGCCCCCCCAGGTTATGGTATTAACAAGCCAGTTTTCACTTTGGGTCAAATGGGCTCCCCCACTAGAGAAGAATCAACTCGTCAACATTGCTATATCAGGTAATCGAGGCCCTAAACTGTCAGTTCGTAGGCACTGTCCAAGAGTACTCTACAATGGCCTATCAACACAAGCAAGACCTTAGACTCCAACTACCCTGTCTCCCTGCTCCTGCTTGGGTGAGACAGGACCCTAACTCTCTTACCCAAAACATCCTCACATCTTCTGTTTAGGGCATTTGATGGGATCCTTCATTACTTTGCTCATCGGTGGTTTCCTCTGCCAGACTAAAGGGTGGCCTTCTATCTTCTATATCTTTGCTAAGTTTGGGCTTCTCAGATCTCAGGATTTTTTTTTTTCTTTTTGTTTTTTGTGTGTTTCATTTTATTTATTTATTCATTAAGAGAGAGTGAAAGAGAGAGCATGAGCAGGGGCAGAGGGAGAAGCAGGCTCCCCACCTAGCAGGGAGGCGATGTGGAACTTGATCCTGGAGTCCCAGCATCTGGATCTGAGCCAAAGGAGACACCCAAACGACTGAGCCACTCAGACGTCCTTCAGGATTTCGTTTTGTGATAGAGAATGCTGGGCATGATTTTCGTGATCCAAGTCATCTATGGTTAACCAAATCCTAATAGATATGAATATTTATATAACTATATAACTACAGGTGATAATGTTCACAGCTAATCATGTTGTGAATCACGCAAAACGACATTTAAATCCCAGGAGCCTGGATGCATACTCAGAATAACCTAATGACTTCAAAGGCATCGTAATGTTCTGTCCTGCTTCCAAACCAAACACACAATGAACCCCAGAGGGATTTCTTTCATAAGATGCTGAAAATGGTATCTTGATGGGATGGTATTTTTAGTTATGCTTATTTATTTAATTCATTTTTTATAAAATTCTATTATTACAACCAGAAAATTCTAAGACTGTACCTGATCATAAAATGCTGATTGACACAGAGAATTAACCAGTAGAACCTGCAAGACAGGGCAGATCGTGGGAGGCTCCAGAGTGAATGTCATACATTAAGAGATGCCACAGAAGGTCCCAAAGATGCACGGAGTGTTCCAGAAGCCATATTCTACGACTTCACTGTTTTGCCTTTACCCAGCCCTGATTGGGATCTCCCTAGCTGCTTGCTGCTAATGTTTGTGTCTGACTTTTAAAATATTCTCTGAAGTCCCATCTGCAACCTGTGTGATTCCAGTAAGACCAGTGAGCGCCAGCAGTGTTTCCGTTAGAGGACAATGCTCTTATATCAAGGGTTCCTATAACATCAGGTCAATATATTCACTAGAAACAAAAATTGTGTGAAGATGGATTACTTTCGCATGGCAACCTGCAAAGGCTCTGTCATGGAAACTTCAAAGGGCAGGTTGCAAAAATTATCCAAGCAACGAGAGAGGTTTACTCTGCTCCTAGTTTTCAGAAAGGGAAGCTACAAATGTAGATCTACAAGGAAGGAATTCAGTGAAATATTTGTTGACATCCTCTACTCGATCTCCAGTGGTGGAAACTTTTCCTATCTATTCCTCTGTACTTGATTTTAAGTTCCTCCATGGCAAGATTGTATCTTTGTATTCTTATACTCTCAAAATCTCACAGAACACCTGGCGTATGGTAATTCTATACTCCATGATAGCTCTTTACTCTCTTTGAAGGCACGGGTAAAGGCCAAGGTGGCAACTAAAAAGAGCGGTTAAGATTAGGGCATGCATGGTGATGAGCACTGGGTGTTGTATGCAACTGATGAATCATTGAACACTACATCAAAAACTAACGATGTACTCTATCTTGGCTAATTGAACATAACAAAAAAAAAGTATTGGGAAAGTTGGTGATGTTTATATAAAATCTGTAGATTAAACAATATTTTCATTAAAAAATAAATTAAAATCTACACTCTGCTTCAAAAAAAGACATTTTCTTAAGATTCTAAAAAAGAAAATTTTAAGACGAATTTTATTTCCACTCAATACTGGGAATGTTGGGTTGTCCATCACTGTCATAATGTATATACAGGTGGTGGGGAAGCACCCTCCACCAATGATGGGGGCCAGAGCATAGATACAGGTAGGAATGGAATATTGGGGTCAGTGATTCTGTCAACCACAGAAATCAGCTCAGTGCAGAGTTAAACTGAAAGAACTACCATCAAGGTCTAATGGGATCCTCTTCCTAGGTGGAATTGGCTGTGCCTATTCTTTTCTCTGGTTTTTTCTTGTTTATGATGACCCCATACATCATCGGTTTATCAGCGCTGGAGAGAAGGAATATATTGTGTGTTCACTGGCTCAACAGGTGCGTTTGATGAACTTCTCTGCCATTTCCCTGTGTTGGTCCAGGTATCTTGGGCTGAAGACAGCATTAGAGCAAATCTCTTGTCTTCTGATGGAGCAGTACTGATATCTGCTTTCTTCCAGGGCTGTTTGCCAGGCTGGTCCCTTCCCATTAAGGCTATGAGCAAATCCCTACCACTTTGGGTCATTTTAGTCTTTCATTTCACTGAATTCTGGATTTTTAATATTTTGGTCACATACCTGCCAACATACATCAACTCTGTACTTCAAGCAAACTTCAGAGACGTGAGTATAGAGAAAGTCTATTCCGTTCTTCTGTTTAAATGCTTTATTATATAATCCTCTGTCTCACTTATGGCCACAAAATCAGGGGATTGGGCCAAGGACCTTCGTGTAGGAAATGCAACCTGGTTGTGTGAATTCTTAATCATCTTACTGTGACCTACCGATTATTGGGGAAGACTGGGACAGTTCTAGGTAAGCTTGACATTCACAGAATGTCATACTTTTAAAGGGACCAATGTAAAACTTTGATGTTCAATCCAACCAACATTTGCAAACAAGATAGTCTGCATAAGACAGTGTTAACAAGACAAATTCCGCCTTCAAGAAGGCTTGACAGGGAGCATAAACATCATAGGCTGAAAATAAGAGTTTATGACTAGGATATAAAGTCCCAAATAGGACTCCTACCCAAAACTTGCAGATAATGTTCTTCTAAAAAATATGTTATTCAAGTATGACGCATACAGAGAAAAGTGTATGTGTACAGGTGAATTTTCACAAAATGAACAGGTGCCCTGACAGGTGGACAGGAGCCTTTAAATTCCTGCAAGATGAAGGTCTTAGAAGTGGCAAAGAGTATATCAGATTTCAGAGCCTATTAACAGCAGTTCACAAGGTTATTGAGCGAATGATATTGTGTTTTGGACTCAAAAAGCAGTGCTCTCAGGTTAACTGGGCTCCTCTTGTGAAAATGTGCTAACCAGCCAACAGGAAGCTGATTTTTGGAGCAGAGGTCAGAGTCTGGGGTGCACATGTGCAAACAGGCTGGAGGTACTGAAGTCAGAAAGCCCAAGGGTTGAGTGGCCATGGGTCTTCACAAAGAGGAGGCCAGAAGCAGGCTGCAAAGCCATAATCTCAGGTGAGACCATCAGGGGACAGGAGGTCCAGACAGACATCTCTGAGGACAGCTGTTGGGGATGGTTTGTCTGTGGTGTGAGGCCAAGTGGGTTCCCCATCTCAGAGGCCAAGGCTGAGGACAGGGAGGACAGGGGGAAAGACTGGAGAGACCAGTGGAGACCAGGCTTATCAGCTTGGGAAGTCAAGAGGCCCCAACTCCCATGGGTCTCAAGATGGTTTCTCCCTAAGTCATAAAACCTTGGTGGCTTCAGTCTACTCATCTATAATGTGAACAGCTGGGACATGGTGACAGTTAAAGCCTTTCCGTTTGGGGAGTTTTACACAACATTTCTTTATATTTTCTTTAATAGCACTGTAATAGAGAGGCTGAGCGGATCAAACCAGGGTTCAATATTTTAAAAACTCTATCCAAAGAGAGGAGTGAAAAATCTTCCTGCCGTTCCCATCCCCGGTCTGCCCTGTACCCCCAGCCCGTTCCCAGCCACAGACAACTATTTTTTATTAATTTCTTAAATATTCTTCCACTGCTTCTTTATCTTCTTTATAAAGTTGCGGGCATACACCAACATATCTTATTTTGTCACTTTTTTTTTTTACACAAAACATTATGTGTTGTGTACATTGCTATTGTTTGTATATTACACCACAGTGATCTTTTCAGATCAGTACACAGGACTCTTACTGAGAGACATTTGGGTTGTTTCCAATCTCTGGGCAAAAAACCTTGCTCGTCAGCCACCCATCTATGCAACTCTTTCTGCATGTCTGTTCAGGGTAAACGCAGTACAGACTTTTGTATCTGTTGCTAAATTGCTCTCCACAGGGCACTGATATTTGTAAGTACCCAGTTTCCCACAGCATCCCAGGGGATCAGGTAAAAAAATTGCTGGATTTTTGCCAGTTTGATCCATGAAAAAGTAGTTCTCTTCACTATGAGGTCAGAGCCCCTTATTTTCCTTTTTCTGTAAATTGTTCCTATCTTTTGCCTATTTTTCTATTGGGCTTTGCTCTTTTTAAAAATCTGTTTCCAGGTGACTTTACCTAAGATGAGAGCATTAAACATTTTTTTTCCCCAATTGAACTATATGCATATTTTCTCTTAGGCACCAAAATTGTATTCTAGATTTTCCAGTAACCTGAAATTTGTATTCGAGGAGATAGGTCTATATAGAGAAGCTCTAAACATAGACAAGCCACACAACGGTCAGTGTGTGTCATGGCACACGAAGTGAGGCAGGCACCTTCTCTTTGGTCCTCAGAGTGGAATCCTGTCAGCCCTGCTGTTAGGTGCTGCCTGTATCGGCACTATCCTTGGAGGTCTACTGGTGGATTTTCTTCACTCCAGAAAAATCTTCAGACTCGTTACCATCAGGAAACTCTCCACTGCCATTGGTAAGGACCCAGGTGGATTGTGGGGTGGACGTGGGAAGCTCAGGGCAGTTTTTATTTCTTCTGTGTTTGTCCTCCTGCTGCAGGGGTTCTTGTCCCATCTGTGGTCTTCGTGTCCCTGCACTGGGTCAGATTCAGCTTCAGTGCCAGTATGGGCTTGTTGGCACTGTCTTCTGTCACCAGCACCTTCTGCCAAACGGGAGCCCTTGTTAACATCTTGGATATTGCTCCTCGGTAGGGACCCCTTGGCCACATCCACACAGGAGCTCAGCTCAGGTCCTGCAACCCTAAAGTCGCTCTGATGCCCCAGTTCCATGTGGGTGATCCACGCTACAGGTCACAGGAAATGCCAGCATTAGCCCTACATCCAAATAATTCCTGGAAGGGACCCAAAGCTAGCCCACCACTGTGCACTCAGTTTTCCAGGTGAAATGGGGAGGCAGTGGCTTCACTCGCAACTCAGCTAGGGACAGGATGGGACTCACACCCACATCTCTGTCGGGGAATGCAGTGGTCCCACAGGGTTGGATTAGTGAAGGACCCGTAAAATACTACTGTGCTGGCTCCCAAAGGTAAAGCTTGACTAATGGGAGAGTAAGAGAAACACTGACCTCCAAGAGAGGTAGTATCAAGGAGGACTGGGGACTTCCAAATGCAGCCCCCAGGATCTTTCACGGTCAGAAGAACATACTCTATCCTCAGATAACCAACCACCATGACCCATGGGAGATGCCTTGGTCTCAGGGGAACCAACGTCTCATCCAGTGAGGGGTCTTTTTTACCCAGAAATAAAGCTGTGAGATCAGGTTCCATAGCAGAAACTAAGAGAATATACACACTCGGTGCAAATCATCAATCTGTACATTTTGTAACAACAATGTTGACAAGTTAGTACAAATGACCCTTGGGAGCCTCAGACCCTCACATGGGACTGTACTAATCACAAGTCAGCACATTTCACTCAGGCTTGACCGAGGGTCGCCTCAGGGCACCCCCAGGGACAAGCACAGAGTTACAACAAGTAAGCTGGGGTGAACGGTATGCTTACACTGGAATATTCTTTTCTGTCTCAGGTACACCAGCTTTCTTCAGGGACTATCGGAAGTCTTTGCATACTCATCAGGAGCCATTTCTTCCAGTGTTGCTGGATTTTTAATCAGTCAGGTGAGGTCGAATGCTCTGATGAAAATACTCATGAGAGACACCTAGAGAGGTCACTCAGGAGAAGTCAGACTGAAGATATTTTTGTTCACTCCCCAATGGAGCTCAGCTTAAAGCTCGAGAGTCCCAAGTCCCCTCAGGAACCCCCCACCCCAGGCTCAGCTCATGTAGGACAGTTACCACAGGTTTAGGATGTGGAGTGATGATGAGCGCTCAGACTTAGAGTTTATACTTTAAGAACTTTAGAAGTTTTTCATGCTAATATTCATGGCAATATTCATGGCAATATTCATGGCACTTCTTACAAAGTATAGAGGGGTCAACCATTCTGGTTTGACTGTGACTGAGGGGTTTCTCTCCTAGTCGCTAATACTGTCAGGAAACAGCCTTTTGTTTTTTTTAATTAAAAAAATTTATTTATTTATTTATTTGACAGAGATTGCAAGTAGGCAGAGAGGGAAGTAGAAAGAGTGGTGGGAAGCAGGCCTCTCTGCTGAGCAGAGAGCTCGATGTGGGGCTCGATCCCAGGACCCTGAGATCATGACCCGAGCTGAAGGCAGAGGCTTTAACCCACTGAGCCACCCAGGCGCCCCAGGAAACAGCTTTTAATATAGGGAAATTCTCAAACTGAATTTTGTTTCCCTTGTCATCCCTTCATTCATTCATTCATTCGCTAATTCAACCTTAGCGTGTGCCACACACTAAGTGGATCAAACGAACAGAAGTCCCTGTCTGGTAAAGCTTATATTGTAGGAAAGCACTGATGGAAAACTAATGAAATCAATAACATATGAAATATACTGAATGGTGGCAAAGTGCGAAGAGAAGAATAAAGCAGGAGAGAACAGGGCACACAGGAGGGGGTGGCATTTCCATTTTAAATAGGGTGGTCTTGGAAGGTAACATTTAAGTAAGGACTGGACACAAACCAGGGAGTGAAACAAATGGCTCTCGGGAGGAGTACTGTTCTGGCAGAGGGAAAGGCCAGGGCCCAGGAAATGACCTGCATATTCTAGGAACAACCGGGAAGGCCACAGAGGCTGGAGCGGGGTTGGGGAGCCAGACCTGCACCAGGACCTTTTTGAATAGGAGGACCAAGAGCCAAGAGACTGTTAACACTCCGTAATTTCCTCCTTCCAGGATTCTGAGTTTGGCTGGAGAAATGTCTTCTTGATTGCAGTTTCTATTAACATGTCAGGTCTGGTCTTCTACCTCATCTTCGGCCAAGCAAAGGTCCAGGACTGGGCTACAGAACAGACGTTCACTCAGCTCTGAGCAAAACGGATGCGTCAGATCCCAATGCTTAGCCATTCATTGTTTGCTGTCATGGACATTATCCCTTAGTACCTGCTTGACTGATTAGCCATTTGATTTGCATTGACTATTTCCAGTATCTTCTCAGAGAGCTTGGCTGTGTAATACTGAAGGTTCCGCCTGCAGAGGTTACGGTGGTGGGTGGGGGTTAGGGAAGGCCAGTTATCTAACTGTGAGCTCTGGAAAGCATAGGTGTGTCTGAATTTCTAAGTGTTCTCCACTCTGCCCATTTTTATGACTTAATAAGAAATTATCAATAAGAAATACATATTTAGTCTCTGCCCCTACTTTCTGGAACAGAGCTCCAGAATTTCAGATTAGTGAAATCTCAGATCTCTTGAGTGGTAGAGATGATAGGAGTACCTTTTGTCATAATATTTGGACTCGGTCCCTAGTTCCCAACACAAGAGCTTCTAAGACACTTGGAATTCCTGGAGTGATGAGAGCACCTTGGGTATTCTATGGAGATGACCTGTGGCTGGGGGACACTGAAGCTACCCATAGCTTCAGGATGGGAGCTGGTCTGATTCAAAGGTGGGAACGTCCAGCTCCATGATCCCACCTCCAGGGAGGTGAGAGGGGCTGGAGATTGAGTTATTCATCAGTTGCCATTTACTCTAATCACACCTATGCAATAAAGCCTTGATAAAAACTTAAAATACGGGGTTCTAAGATCTTTTGGCTTGGTGAGCACAGGGAGGTGCTGGGACAGTGGTGACCGAGAGAGGGCAAGGAAGCTCTGCGGCTCTTCCCATATTCCTTGCCCTGGGCATCTTTTCCTTTTGGCTGTTCCTAAGTTGTATCCTTTATAATAAAGCAGTAGTAATAGTAAACAAACTGTTTTCCTGCATTCTGTGAATAATTCTAGCAAATTATCAAATGTGAGCGACTCCCAGGTTTTGGTTTGGTACTGTCCAGATGGAGATGCCTAGGAGACTGAGATCTACCCAGGTGAAGATGACAGGAAGGAAAGTAGACACGTGGGAGATCTGGGCTTCACGTGTAAATCTAGGAAGCTTCTAGATACAGGCAATGATCGAAATGCTTAGCACACCAGAGGCTGTCCCGGGCAAAAGGATGGCGTAGGGAGGGAACGCCTGCCGAGAACCTTACAGAAGTCCCAACACTGAATGGCCAGCCTGGGGGATCACTAGCCTTTTTAAGAAAAAGGAAAAAAGAAGACACTAGAGAGAAGGAAAACCAAGAGAATACAGTGCTCAGAGAGGGAAGAGAGACATGTGTTTCAAAAAGGAGTGGAGCAGGAAAGGAGCTTAAAGTGAGCATGGTTCAAACCTGGGGGAGAAACGAAATGGACTCTTGAAAAGAACACATACGAGCACGGTACCTGAGAAGGCTGAGGGTTCGGGAGGAACCTGGGCCCGAAGCCCATTTGGATGAATGACTGGGGATGCGTGAGGGCTTCTCCTATTCTCTCACAGCTGGCTGGAGACTGCGTCCTGCCTTCAGGGCACCTCCAACACCTGCCCTAGTTCCTCTCTCTCCCCCCCCACCCCCCACCCCGGTTCATTTAGGACAGTTCCCTCCACCCCATCTGACTGCAGACTCTGGAATTGTGGGAACCATGCCATGACACATACTACTTTGTAATGTCTTAAACACAACAACAACCTTGTCTTGCACACAGTATTAATACATTTGTGTGTGTGTGTGTGTATTGAGTGTGTAGGTGTTCAATCACTGTGTGCCTCAGTGCACGGCCTGTGGTGGCGTGGAAGACCAGTTAGGGAAGAAATGGGTGAGAAGGTAAAGGACCCAATTCTTCTTTAATTTCCTTTGTTTTTCAGAACATAGAATTACCTAAACCTACCAAATCCCTTCCTTATCCCATCTGGTGTTGAGACTCAGAGACTGGGTCTCTCCATTCCACGTCTCCAACAATCACAGAGCAAACCCCAGGCCCTCAGCAGCAAGGATCATGGGGTTCGCCCATCAGGACAGAGGCTCTTACTTGTTTCTTTTCTTTTCTTTTGTTTTTTTTTTTTTTTTTTTTTTAAAGATTTTATTTATTTATTTGACAGACAGAGATCACAAGCAGGCAGAGAGGCAGGCAGAGAGAGAGAGCAGGAAGCAGGCTCCCCGCTGAGCAGAGAGCCTGACTCGGGGATTGATCCCAGGACCCTGGGATCATGACCTGAGCCGAAGGCAGAGGCTTTAACCCACTGAGCCACCCAGGCGCCCCAAAGTACTTGTTTCTGAACGACCCTTGTTGGCGTGTAATTCCGCTCCTTTCCTTCGGTGGACTCTTCTGTTTTTTCCTCATCTATCACTTTTCATTGCTTCTAGAAACAAGTTTGATTCCTCCCCAGGGCCTGATGAGTACAGTTTCCCCCAAATGGCTCACTTAAAGTACAGAAACCTTCTCAGACTTCCCACTGACCCACACATTGACAACACAGAGGACTGAAAGCTGAAAAGTGGGGAAAAGGTCTTTCAGAAAATCTTAGAATAAAATTGGTTTTCTTGCACTTGTTTATTGGTTGACTCAGCAATCATTTATAAAGCAAAGAGTGTGGAATGGAAGACGAAAAAATCCACATTTAAAATTCAGACCTGCTAGGTGGTACAAACAATATATGGTACAAAAGAGATGCACACGGGGTGTGGGGTGGGACATCCTAGGAAGGTGCACGCCATCTTCTTCCTTGAGCCGCTTACTGCCCCTCAATCCCAGCTCCGGGGCTGGTCCCTCTTCCCTTCAGTGAGGAGGTCAGTCCCAGGCTCTCCCAGGGTTCTGCTTTACACGAAGTTTTGTAGAGAAACAAAAAAGTGCACACAAATGTCACTGGTGAGTCCCGGCGGATAAAGGAAAGCTTTCAGAACAGTTCAAAGCACCAGTCTGGCCAAGTGTATTTTTCTCCAGCTATCTTCCTTGTCCTGATGACAGCTTATCCCAGGCATGTGCTACTCTGTTCTCCTCCTGACATAAAAATAAGCATGACTGGTGAACAATTCCAACATTGTGCTAAGTCCAGGCACACAGCATGAGACCATCTATCTCCTGCTCCCCGTCTCTGTGGTGTCCGCAAACATGGGGCATCTTGGGCTTTGCAGCTGAAGCCGTCTGATACTGCTGCACTCTCTTATTAATATGAATACGTGTTATCTACAGCAACAATAAGGCACAGTCTGTGTACTTTGGCAAATGCCTATTTCATGAAACGAAGACTTCCATTTGTGCCCCCACACACTCTGGTCCTGCTCAAATGCACCCCCGCCCCGTCCTTTCAAAGAACAAATTGCCAGAGCCCACGCCAACTGGCAGACCGGACTGCAAACCAGCTTCACCTGGTTACAAAATCCAGAAAGGGCAAGTGCTCTACACACATCCTTCCTCCGCCTGACAGATGCGTCCAGGGCTGCCCAGCAGGCCAGGATGAGGAGTGTTGGAGGCCACGGGAGGTCAGGACTGTTGGGACAGGACAGCCTGGCATAACGTGCTGAAGCCTGACCAGGGGTGTGGACCATGTCTGCGTTGGCTGACAGCCTGGCACAGGGTCTGGAGGTGATGCAGGTGAGGAAGGCCAATGTCCATGAGGTGACCCTCCCGTGGGCCAACCCCCTTCCTGCTTTCTGTAATTCTTCACCGGTCTGACTCTCCTAAGCTCCTACGTCTCCCCTCTCCTTATTCCCTTGTCCTCCCTTTAAAATGCCCCTCACCTCTGTACGAATAAAAATTTGAGTTTGGATCTCTCTAGACTCATTTGCTTTTTGTAACAGTATATGACTGATTAAAATCTGTCCTTACCACTTTAAATAGTGTCTAGCTTTGTTCAACTTGGATATTAGGGTAGAATGTCAGCACCTAAGAGAGATGAAGAGGGTTTCCATGGTCCAGGAGGGGTGCCCCAGGGTAATGGTGTCAGGGCATGGGAAAGAAAGCAGGGAAGAATATACAATGGGGAAAAGACCGTCACTTCAATAAATGGTGCTGGGAAAACTGGACAGCTACATGCAGAACAATGAAACCGGAACACTTTCTTATCCCATATACAAAATACATTCAAAATAGATTAAAGACTTAAATGTAAGATCTAAAACCATAGAATTCCTAGAAAAAGACATAGGTAAAAGTTCTCTGTCATTGGTCTTAGCAATATACATATATTTTAAAATCTGTCTCTTCAGGCAAGGGAAACAAAAGCAAAAATAAGCAAATGGGGCAATTATCACACTAAAAAGCTTTTACACAGTGAAGAAAACTACCAAAAAAAACAAAAGAGGCAACCTACTGAGTAGAAGATATTCACAAATGACGTATCTGATAAGAAGTAAACACCCAAAATACATGAAGAACTCATACAATGCAATATGTTTTTTAAAAAACTAGCAATCCAATTAAAAAACAGGCAGAGGACCTGAACAGACATTTCTCTAAAGACATCCAGATGGCCAGGAGACACATTAAAAGATGTTCAACATCACTGCTCATCAGGGAAATGCAAAACAAAACTACAACGAGGTATTACCACATAACTGTCAGAATGGCTATGATCAAAAAGATAAGAGACAACAGATACTGAAAAGAATATGGATGGGAAAAAAGCCTCATGCATTGTCGGTGGAAATGCAAATTGGCGCAGTCTCTATGAAAACAGTACAGCTACGAAAACAGTACAGCGGTCCCTCAAAAAATTAAAACAGAACTATCATAGGGGCGCCTGGGTGACTCAGTTAGTTGGGCATCTGACTCTTAATCTCAGCTCAGGTCTTGATCTCAGAGTCATGAGTTCAGGCCCCATGCTGGGGTCCATGCTAAACAAACAAATAAAATAAATAAACAAACAAGCAAACAAAAACTAGAACTATCACAGACTGCAGCAATTCTATTTTGAGGTATTTACCTGAAGAAAGTGAAAACACCAATTTAAAAAGACACATGCATCCTTATGATTTATAGCATTATTTACAACAGCCAGGATATGGAGGCAGCCCAAATGTCCACTGATAAACAAATGGATAAAGAAGATATGGCATATTTATACAACAGGATATTACTCAGCTATAAAAGAGAATGAAATCTTGTCATTTGTAACAATGGGGATGGAGCTAGACACTAAGTGAAATTAAGTCAGGCTAAGAAAGACAAACACCAAATGATTTCACATATTTGTGGAATCGGAAAAACAAAACAAGCCAAACAACAACACAAAACAGAAGCAGATTCAGAGATATGGAGAACAAGTGATGGTTGCCAGAGGGAAGGAGGGTGGAGGGATGGACGAAACAGGTAAATGGAATTCAGAGGGATGATCTTCCAGTTATAAAATAAATAAGACAGAGGGATATAATGTACTGTATAGGGAATATAAGAATAATACTGTAACAATTTTGTATGGAGACAGATTGCAACTATGCCGTGACCACTTTGTAATGTAAATATATATCAAGTCACTACATTTTTTTTTAATTATACGTTTTATACCTAAAATACAACATTGTATGTCAATTATTCTTCATAAAAAATTATATAGATAAAAATAAACAACTGACTTCTTAGAGTAAAACTAGAAGGGGCACGTGGGTGGCTCTGTCAGTTAAGTGTTTGCCTTCGGCTCAAGTCATGATCTCATGGACCTGGGATCGAGCCCCACATTGGGCTCCCTACTCAGTGTGGAGCCTGCTTCTCCTGCTCCCTCCGCCCTTCCTCCTGCTCATGCTCACTCTCTCTCTCAAATAAATAAATAAAATATTGAAAAAAGAATAAAACTAGAGTATATGCATTTAAAGGCATAAAGAATAAAGGAATACTAACATTAACCCATTATTTAAATTTGTTCTGGAAATTCTAAGGGCCATGAGTCCAGGAGGGGGGGAAACTA